ACGGGCTCATATATAAGCTATATGAGTACGGAGTGCCCGACCGTCTCGTATGCATAATACGAGACTTCCTTAGTGACCGCACGTTCCGCTACCGCGTCGAGGGAGTGTGTTCTCAATCGCACCCCGTTTGAGCCGCACTCAGTAGTACGTCCCGTCATGACGTATGCTAGTCCGGTATTCGCGCACATAGCTCCGAAACAAATACACCGACTTCAGGTGATTCAGAATAGATTCTTGCGTAGAGCCACGGGAGCCCCGTGGTACATGCGCAACAGTGATCTTCATATAGACTTGGACTTGCCCACCATCGCCCAACACCTGAAGTTAGCGTCGCGTCGTTATTTTGACTCTGCCGTCGGCCATCCTAATCCACTAGTTGTAAGTGCCGCCACTTACAATCCAATCGCGCTCGGTAAATTCCGTCGGGATCATCGTAGAACTAGAAACGTACTTGACTTTCAAGACGATCCAATTACTATCGCTCAAGCTAAGGTAAAACAACACAGACAGACCACACGCCGCAGTCGCTGTCGGCTGCGGCAATCATTCTCGCGATACGGCCTCATAGCAGGTAGATTTTCTCCTATTAATAATAGAAGCGTTGCTGGAGTTTCTTCCGCCACTTCTTCTCCCAGTGATAACGCTTTCCGAAGTGGTAGTAATGTTAGATGTATTAATAGCAATCAGATAATAGCAACCGATCAAGCCGTGGTTCGGCCCTCTCGGGCACCCTTGAATCGGAATGCTAAACGCGTAATGAGTGACAGCCCAAGCCGAGGTCCCCTCTCGGGGGCCCTTGAGACCAGTCACTCCATGGAGCGTCCACCTAAGCGATCTAAGAGCTCGGTGACCTCCCAACCCGGTAACTATAATGAAGTAACAGCCCGAGCCGAGGCTCCTGAGGGAGCCCTCGAGTCTTGTTACTCATAAACGAGGTTCAGGCTAAGCGCCATCTGCGCTCGGCCACCTCAAGCCCGGTGAAACTGTAAATGCCTCCTCAAGGCAAACAGTGACTACTCAGTCACAAAAAAAAAAAATGGATGGGTGGATGGTCGGTTGGATGGATAGATAGATGGATGTTTGTATGAAGGTATCTCCGGAACGGTCTAACGGATCTTATTAGATATAGGATTATTTCACATCGGACCTCAAGTTGATTACTCTAGTTAACTAAGCAAGTTAAAACTGCAGAGAGTTATGACGACCCTTCAAGCCATAGCGACTTTAACAAACACCTGTATCAAAGACAGTCCACTATGCAGAGCGTGCTGGAGGAAGAGGACAAGGTGTCTCACGTAATATAACACTTCTCAGTAGTGTTATATTAAGGGTTAGGACTTGTAACATAAAGGGGCTGCTGAGGTTGGTTGTCTGTCCCTACGCTAAATACTTGTTATACGTGGAGAAGCTGTAGTTGTAGCAATCTACTAGTTTTACTTCTACTACAACAATAACATCAATATAGAAAAAGGAAACTATAGCTGCAAATTAAAAAAAAATAAAACAAAATAATGTAAGTTATAAATTACAATTATAATAATAAAATAAAAAAAAAAGAATAAAACATAAACATACTAATATTATAAATATAAAAATAATAAGTGAGTGAGTAGTGAGTGAGTAGTGAGTGAGGAGATAAGTAAATATTCACTTGTTATGAGTAGATCGCGTGTTGAACTGACGACCCGGGCAGCTGTGGTACTAGGTTGCTCAAATGAAGAGACTCGTAGCTCTTTTCTGTTGTAGCTTCTTAACTATGAGAATAGAATAACAATTTTAGTGGTAGATAAAGCAGCATTAAGTTTTATTGAATGAATGAATTAGAAAATACACTCACGTGGTTTGAATATATCTCGTGCCGAACTGGTGACCCGCGCAGAGGTGCCTCTGTGAATGAAGACTTCCCAAAACTACCAGAGCGGCAAGCTGGCGCCTGCTATGTGTTCCACCTATAACATATTCGTTATTATTTCTTCCGTCCAAACTGCTTGGTAATTTTCATCAAATTTGATTGCATTTACCGCCGCTGGAATCTTCTTTTTTGTCTTATTTTCTGGTCGTGTCTTGTAACTCATCCCCCCAGTCCACCGTCTGCTAATGCTGACGTAGGAACTTCACCCCCACCGAGGAAGTCAACACGGAACATATTGGAGTCAAGTCGTATTATTGGAACAAACAAACATGATACAATAATATATGTGCAATAATTTTGGGATGTGTTCATTGAATACCTCTGTTACTTACAATTATCACATCCCAATTTTTTTTAATTACAAAGGAAATCAAAAGAGTTGATGAAAGATATATCGTTATTTGTAAGATGTAAGTTAAGTTTAATATAAAAGTGAAACTCACTTCGTTCGTTTAATGGCGAGTTCTTCTGGTGATCCGCGCCGCGCTCAGTCCGCAGCCATCGAAGAACTTGGCCGGCTGGCTCTCAGCACACCACTGCCATCTGACCTGCACATATAACTAATGCATCTCTTTAATAATGTTCACATATTTTATTGATTCGATGAAGTTGTGGTTCTATTTTTTTTTAAACTTTTTGTCTTGAATATGTTTAAGTTATGTTTACTGTAATTATGTGAAATTAATATTAAGTGTACTCAGATAAAAAACATTTTAATTTTTACTGTTTAGTGTTAAAGGATAACATGAATAAAACAATTAACTCAATTAAGTACGTGTTTAATACATATTGTAATATTTTTACAAAAATTAATTTTCTTCCTATTTAGTATTTTGATTATTAATTTATGTTTACAAACGAGTAAATCCATTAATAACAATTTTAATATTTTTTTTGTTTTCTGCCAAACATGGAGCAAATTTACAAACATAGCATCAAAGTTTACATTGAAAATTAAACAACAATGACAAATATTTTTGATTGTAAACATAATGTACTGTAAAGTACTGTTAGAACAAATTATAATTTAATTGCAACATATTTTTATATTAAAAGGTGGTAAACTAGCAAGCAGCCAAATTATATCGCGAAAGTAGCGATGACCACTGCTCAAACGTCTGCAACATACAAAATTGCAGACGAATTGCCAACCTTTGATGGACAGAGAAGATAATGCAGAAAAAAGAGAAATTTTTTATACATCCTCTCCACCGTCGAACCCACCTTCCCCTCCTAATAAAAATGGTGGAAAGGAAAGAAGATTAGAATTAGAACTAACATGAATATTCTTGTTTTAGTAAGATGATGTGATTTAGATCACAAAGCCACAGAACGGCTCAATTTAGATTTGAATGCACATTATAAGAAACTAACATAAAACTAGTCCCACAAACTTATCACGCTGCCATCGCGGTATAGAAAATGACACAACATAAGCCAATTACAACTGACGGCTACTTTGTATCACTTTTTTCCACCGGTTGTGAAGACTTTGTAGAACTATAACATTAGTTAGATATTTTTGAAACTAAAACATTAGCAATTGGATTGATTAAAATATTTGGAAAACTGTATAAAATCAGTTTACCTACATTTGATTCTAGAAATTACCTCAATACAGTATTTTCTTGTAAATATTTTTACATAAATTCCATATAGTACGCACTAAAAAGGTGGTAAACTAGCAAGCAGCCAAATTATGTCGCGAAAGTAGCGATGACCGCTGCTCAAACGTCTGCAACATACAAAATTGCAGACGAGTTGCCAACCTTTGATGGACAGAGAAGATAATGCAGAAAAAAGAGAAATTTTTTATACATCCTCTCCACCGTCAAACCCACCTTCCTCTCCTTAAAAAAAATTGGTGAAAAGGAAAGAAGATTAGAATTAAAACTAAGATGTATTCATTTTGCGGGGCCGCAGTCGTAGAGGTCGAGTCCGTAAGGTGTCGCGAGACACCCTAGGTAAAGGTCACGCTGACGAGCCAAGTCAGGGTTGAGCAAGGCGTTGAGCTGGTTCTTTTTAACCCGGCTGCCAACCCGATCCAGCGTCTGATATCGCACTGAGAGCGAGCCCTGCCCCTCCCTCCCTATATTGTGGGCTCCATGGAGGGCAGGAAACTGGGGGGACGAAATTTTCATTTTGAAAGCTATCAGGCTTTGGAAAACTCAACAACAACAAAAGTAAATCAAAACTAAGGCAAAAACTCCATAGCTGGTCCGTGAGCCATGCCAACCGGGTATTTGGTACTGTGGAGGCACTTGCTGTGAGTGCGAAAGAATGGATGCGTCCCACTAAGATGCAAAGATTTAGAGCAACCCAGTCAAAGGCGTAGGGGGCTGTGGTAAACACTATGTTTGTCCTTGAGCAGCCATTCATAATTTAGGGCGCTTACTATATAGACAGAATCATTAGGTGCAGATCAAGGAATGGTTGATTATATATAGCGAAAGTATATGCTCTTAAACTTGGAGAAGAAGCGTAGTGGGCCAAAGAACTGATACATGATAATACGAATACTACGAATAAGTATTTAATAAGCTTAACTAAGTTTTTACTAAAACTTACGTGGTTTGATTGAAGAATCAAATGCTGTTTAGTCGAAACGTGCGAAGACTACTTCGCAACCTCCCAGCATCATTATATCTGAAAGATAACCACGAAAGATTAAGAAAAAGTTAAAACGATAAGAAACAATTAAATATTCCATTGAGTTTTATGTTATACTCACATGATTTTAATAGATCGCGTACTCAACTGGTGGTGCCCATGTTTGTAACTAATTGTGTCCCGTTGAAAAACAGACGTGAAATTTGTAAGGTTTTGGTTTTAACGGTTAGCTTTGGTTCGCAGTCCACGAAGATATATGACCGTCGTTGCTTAAATAGTTGAAAAGATTCGAATATCCAAGAATCTTTGATATCTTCTTATCTTCTTCTTTAGAGATGAATGAAAACGTATTTACGGTACGGTGGCAAAGCGAAGGTTGGGAGACTTTTTCTTGATTTGTATATATCGCGTTCTTATCTGGTGTGCCGTGCAGTACTGATGCTTCAATGGAGAAATATTTGAGGAGATGAAAGGCATTTTTCTTGGCACCACCACCCTGTGAGCAAAAGAATTTTGAATTTAGTGGTAGTAGATCCAAAGAGAGACACTAACTCAATTTAATGGCTTAATGAATGAATGAATAAATTTTAA